GGACAATATTTGGCTGAGATACAACTATTTGAAAATCTGGAATCTGAGGGTGCAAAAAAATCTAAATATTGAGAAAATCATCTTTAAAGTTGTTCAAATGAAGTTCTTAGCAATGCATATTACTAATCAAACATTAAGTTTTGATATATTTACGGTAGGAGATTTACAAAATATCTTCATGGAACATGATCTTTACTTAATATCCTAATGATTTTTGGCATAAAAGAGAAATGTATAATTGTGACCCATACAATGTATTGTTGGCTATTGCTACAAATATCCCCCAGCGACTTAAGACTCCAGGGTCACATATATGTTTGATATCTAAACGCTTTATGTAATTTTTTTTTTTAATGCTTTATTGGAATTGTAGCTGGGAATCATTAAGACGCTGAGACGCATGCATTCAGAAAGTAAGATCGGTGTGTGTTGAACTCGCTGTCTCTTTTCAGACACCCCAATATCCTGCGTCTCTACGGTTATTTCCACGACGCGGCGCGCGTTTATCTCATCCTGGAGTTCGCTCCTAAAGGAGAGCTGTATGGAGAGCTCCAGCGCTGCGGGACGTTCGACGACCAGCGAAGTGCAACGGTAAGAAACCACCGTGCGCTCCTGTTTCGAATGCTCACGATTCATGCATGAGGACTGATAACATCTCATAATAATGTCTGCTTGCAGTATATAATGGAGCTCGCAGACGCTCTGAGCTACTGCCACTCAAAGAACGTGATTCACAGAGACATCAAACCTGAAAACCTGCTGCTGGGGGCCAACGGAGAGCTGAAGATCGCAGACTTCGGATGGTCCGTCCACACACCGTCCTCCAGGTCAGTCAGGTGTTGTGCATCTCGGTGTTTGTTTCGTTTACCTTTAAAGTGCTGCATATTGTCTGTGTTGGTTTAGGGTTAACGTGCGTTTATCATGTGTCTGTCAGGAGGTCGACGCTGTGTGGTACCCTGGACTACCTTCCTCCAGAGATGATTGAGGGCAAAACGCACGATGAGAAGGTGGATCTGTGGAGTCTCGGAGTGCTCTGCTATGAGTTTCTGGTCGGCCGTCCACCTTTTGAAACCAAGAGCCATGAGGAGACGTACCGCAAGATTTCTAGAGTGAGTGAAATATTCAGAAACTCCTACGAGCTTTGCACGGGTGATCAGCAATGAAACGATAATCTCCTTTTGTTGCACATACTGCTCATTCGTGTCCCTGCAGCACAGAAGCAGTGTTGAGTCGCTGGGGGATATTTGTAGCAATAGCCAACAATACATTGTATGGGTCACAATTATACATTTCTCTTTTATGCCAAAAATCATTAGGATATTAAGATCATGTTCCATGAAGATATTTAGTAAATGTCCTACCGTAAATATATCAAAACTTAATGTTTGATTAGTAATATGCATTGCTAAGAACTTCATTTGAACAACTTTAAAGATGATTTTCTCAATATTTAGATTTTTTTTGCACCCTCAGATTCCAGATTTTCCAAATATCGTCCGATCCTAACAAACCATACATCAATGGAAAGATTATTTATTCAGCGTTCAGATGATGCATACATCTCAATTTCATAAAATTTACCCTTATGAAAAATTAATTGGGTTTGGGTGCTCCTCAGGTTAGAATTGTTGACGACTACAAAACATCTATAAATGAATGTAGGACTGTTGCGTTGTTTTTACACTTTGGCTAATATGCAATATTATTGTGGTAACACTTCACTGTAAAATTAATTTCTGATTCTTTCATAGGTTTAACAGCTCCGGGAATTAATTTAGAAATACACTGTTCTTCATTGATCTATATAATTTAAGTATTATAAAAAAGCTAACAATTTAAATGTTACCATGTAGAAGTTAACGTTAAACTAGGTTAGTAGTATATGCTGTAAAAGTATTAAATCATGTTGCCTGATGTGATGAATGGAACCTGAAAGTGTTACCAATGTAACGTATTCTTGTCTTTTATCGCTGATGAACAGGGCTGCATTTAAAGGAAATTGAGTGATCAGAGGCTCTTGTTGATTTTAATTTCATAAACGCATAATTTGCGTTTGTTCTGTATCTGCTGATGATTCTCTTTAGACTGAAATACCTCACAAAATGGTTTTGAACCTCTGTTTTCTGTAGATAATCTTCAGTCTGTCTGATGTAAATGTGTCTTGTACCATCTCCGATTCTCTCCAGGTTGAGTTTACGTACCCTGCTCATGTGAGCGAGGGCAGCAGAGACCTGATAAACCGCTTGCTCAAACACAACCCCATGCACCGTCTCCCTATCCAGGGTGTCCTGGTGCACCCGTGGGTGCTGGAGAACTCCTGTAAGAAGCCAACCGCGCAGACCGAATCCATTCCTCAGACCTGAGCTTGTGGAACGAAACGGATCTGATGTGTCTGTAAAGCCTCTCTTGGGCATGACTTTGAGTTGTATGTTGTTTTTACGTGTTGTGCTGTTCATGCTACAATTTACATGCATTTGTAAATATGTAATTAAGCCACATTGTAAAGTTTTAACCATTACTTGAAACAATAAATGTTTTTATTATTACTTCTAAGGATCTCAATAGAATTTTAATGTATTTCATTTGTGGTGTGTGTGTGGGAGAATAAATTCCTTTACGATAAAACAATGTTTAATTACTTTTTCTTTATATTAAAACTTAGATTTCAAGATTGCTCTGAGTAGGTTCTGTCCTGGTGTTGCTTTAATCTCACTTTTAGCCGTGTGATGGGTTCTGCTAATCATTTCTCGCAATCGTGTTGCTTGAAAACAGTCTTACGGGTTCAGAGCAACAATGAGGGTGAGTGAATACAGTTTTAAACACACTATTATTCTAAACTCTGGCGATTCTAGACACTTTACACATTATCTCTGCAAAAAGCGCCCTCGTAGGAGTCTTAATGTGAAGTCAGCAGTGTTTAGGGGCTTCAAAAAGTGTTTGTGTCTTTGTGAACTTAGTCCAAGCAGACATTTTCTGTGTGGAAAAACTCACGGCCTCAGCTTTTGTGATGTGCTTTTGTTGAATGTGTTTGTGTCCAGCACTCTTCAGGAAGCCACCAGATGGCGCTGCAGTCTCAGTTTCTCAGGCTTTTCGTGGTCCAGTAATGAGAAGATGGCTCCTCTGGTTGAACTCGATTTCCCACAATCCAACACGACCGACATTTGCCACAACTCTCCACTCGCTTAATATAGAAACGGTCTGAGATTTCTTCTCTGGCCGCAATGACGGTGCAATAGTGTCATGCAGAATTATTTTGGGCCGATAATTTTATTTAGTGTGTTTTTGAAATGAGATTTTATTATATAGACTTTAACGGTAGAGCCGTTTTGATTTTTGATTTTATGTTTTTGTGCATGCACGCAGCCATATGCGAATGCGCATCTTTGTATTTTATTTATTTTTTCATAAATCCCTCAGTAACTGAGAAACAGTCCATCCAGATGTTCACCTGCGGACTCACAGCCGAGAGCCTAAATCTGTCGCGCATTTTCTGCACGAGCGCACTTCATTCTGTTGCGCCGTATGACAAGTTGCATTCATCAGTTGCATTACAATTTATTTAAACCCTACGGTCCATTTGAAGACTGTAATGATGCATGCATTGCATGGACATTTATATGCAATTTTTCACATTGTGAAGCTGTCTATTTTTCAAACCAATATGTGCGCAGTCGACTGTAATGCATCCAAAAATACGGCTTTTATTTTTCTCTTCCGCAACTTCAGCAGTTATCAGAAAATCGAAATCTTGAAAATGCATTTGCTGTGTAATATAACCTATTATGATATGAATATAATGTGTGCCCATGCGCGTTTGGAGGTGGAGCTCAACTGATTTATTGTTTTGAAGGGAAAAGATGCACGTGTTTAATTGTTTCCATATCTCACAAAACCCCCCAAAAAACAGTTGCACAATAGGCTATAATTTCACGCGTTTCTTTATTCGTCAATATATTCATTTTCACGATATATGATAATGATTTTGTGATATACATTCCATCTTTTAGACCACAATAACACAACACGTACGGTTTTTTAATAACATTTCCACAGCACCCATTGGATTGCACAAAATGAAAAAATGTCTTATGCAAGTCCCTTGATTTCGATCCAACCGAGGGGAACATGAACATTATTAATTGTTTGATATCCGATAACGCAATGCTCAAAATCGAAATTTAGCCATTTGATCTGGTGGGATGCTTTAATATCTTCCATCATTTCGTTTTGCTCTTCATCTCCAGCGACTCTTTCTTGTTCGTTATTCGATGTCTTGTAAAAATAGGAGTCTCTTTGTATGATTTCTGGCTGAGAGCAACTGAAACGCAGCGTGTGAATAAACTCTGGTTTTCTTCTGAAGATCTCTAATACTGCATGGACATCATACGATCAGAATGCATAGTTCATTATTATTTTCTATCTTGCCCTCTCCGATTTGGTTCAGTAAATGCAAAAGATAATAATTAAGACTTAGGCTATAGGCTACGTGTCCTCGGATCGAATGAAGGAAAATCCATCCATTTATTTTAAACCTACTCTATTGTGTTTATTGCCTTGTAGTTAATTGGTTGTTTGTTGTTCCTAGTCGTGTATTGCAGGAGATTTGCTCAGCTGAATGTCTTGCACTCAACTGAAATGATTCTCGTGGAGTCGGGCCAAATCAAAGCTGAAATCAATTCTCTTGTAAACCATTTTCTCGCTTCACAACAAAAATATAGCTTTGCTCTTGTCTTGTGTAACGCGCTGCTGTCCTACACTCTTCAAAATAAAGCTGCTTCAGGTGATGCCACAGAAGAACCTTTTTGTCTGAATGGTTCCATAAAGAAGCTTTAACATCTGAAGAACCTTTCTGTTTCACTAAAGCTTCTTTGTGGCGAAAGAAGGTTCTTCAGATTATACAAAGCTCAGAAAGAGATGCTTCTTTAAAGAACCTTTGACTGAATGGTTGGTTGTGGAACCAAAAATGCTTCTTCTATGGCATCGCTTGAAGCACCTTTATTTTTAAGAGTGAAGGCGTTTCTCATGTGGATGCCTAAAGAATCGTGGATTTATTGTGTGTTCAGGTCAGATTTGATTCTGAATGAACCTGCACGCTTAAAAATAAAGGTTCTTTATTGGCGTCAATGGTTCTACGAAGAACGGAACCTTTCAAATGCAGAAAAGGTTCTTTAGAATTTTTTTTAATGTTCTCCAAAATGGTTCTTTTAGGAACTGTTCACTGAAAGGTTCTTTGGGGAACCAAAAACAGCTCTTCTGCAAAAACACCCTTTTGGAACCTTTATTTTTAAGAGTGGCATGGGTTAAAAGCTTTTTATTATACATGTATTTTTTCTGGGGGAACTTATCGGTTTGGTTATCAATATGTGGGATGCGTAACACTTATCACCAAACTACCGCCGCTCATCAGGTTCCAGACTAATCGTGCAGGTTGTATTTGTACGCCTCGATGAGGCCCTCGACGGAATGGATGAAGCCAGAGATTGCTTGTGTTTTATGCTCACACTGTAATTCACTATGCAATGCCCCATGCATTCTGTGCTATTCCATTTTATTTCCATGCACAGTGCAGTTATACCCACACTCTTAAAAACAAAGGTGCTTAAATGGTTCTTCACAGTGATGCCATAGAAGGACCATTTTTGGTTCCACAAAGAGCCATCTCTTTATTATCTGAAGAACCTTCTTTCGCCAACAAAGAAGCTTGAGAGGTTCTTCAGATGTTAAAGGTTCTTTATGGAACCATTTAGACAAAAAAAAGCTTCTTCTATGGCATCGTCAAGCACCTTTATTTTTAAGAGTGCATATGGTCTTGGTGTCACGTTTTTGTCCTTTTACGGACTTATGAAGCTCTCCAGAGGGAATGCGCCATCATCAGCTTCTACATTCGCTGCAGGTGTTGTGATGGAGCATTAGAAATGCAGCTGAATTCAGTCACGGACATTTCATTTGCTGTGAGCAAAGTCACGCTCACCTCATTGTGTCGTCATCGGGATGAATCAAATAAGCAGGGAGGCACGTCACGGACGTCACTTTTGATATTAAGAGCTTGAACTGCGCACGATTAAATGCGTGGGGTTTTATCGTTTGAACATGCATTTTTTTTGGCATTATCCAAAACACATTTTTGAGTTATTTTTTTAACCATCGTTTTGTAGAGTGCATACATTTCGGAACGGATATTTTTAATCGTAACATGTAAAAGGCACATTATGCTCTCCGGTTTTACGCACGTCGAAAAAAGACGGAATTGCTCATGCAAACCCCACAAAACGCCAGAATAGAAATGCACATGGAATGGACTGCTTGAATGCTGTTTTATAAAGCTCAACTCGCTGATGAAGGTCCCTTAATATCAATCGGTTCCCCCGTGACACGACATCAGCACAAGAAAAATCTACGCCATTAAAGAAACATTTAGCCTCACAGAGGACTAACCCTTTTAATATATGTATTGCAAACAGTTTTCACACAACATTTTCCATATTGATCAATACTAAAAACTTTAGAATGTTATTGTTTTTATGTGCATCGCCGTGACGCGTAATGCCTCCTCACCTGGATCGCATTGGTCACGTTCCATCCTGCCTCCCAAGCAGTGATTCTTGGCTTGTCCGAGCCGCCTAAATCGGAGCAAAATCCGCCGTCTTTGGACGCTGAGGGCGGCGGACCCGTTCCATCCCTCTGGTAATGGCTGTCCCCTTCGACGGCCCCTTCGCCCCCCGTGTCCCCGCCGCCCTCTCCACCCATTCCCTCGTTTTTAAGGATGTCCATTTGAAGCCCCTGCCTGTGGTCATAGTCCAGATCATCGCAGGCGGCGAAGCCCAAACCCTCTTCATCGGTGGCGGCCTGGAAGCCCAGTTTGGCGAACATCCCGCTTACCTTCGCCTGCGATTTATTGGTGACCGTGGTGGCCGCGTTGGACAGCTTGTTAGAGATCTTGCTTCTAATTACCGTAGCCATGATTGCTCTCCTAAGCGCGACTGGTGTGAAAATTGCTCTTCAGATGTTTTTCTAGCTATATCGAATTTAGAGTGAACAGTCCGAGATATCCTCCGTGGAGAATGGCGTAGGGTAACCCGAGAACAAACATGCCCTGGGGAGATAAGCAGAGCATGGCTTTATACAACAGAACGCTGCTTGTGTTTTATGCTCACACTGTAATTCACTATGCAATGCCCCATGCATTCTGTGCTATTCAATTTTATTTCCATGCACAGTGCAGTTATACCCACACTCTTAAAAACAAAGGTGCTTAAATGGTTCTTCACAGTGATGCCATAGAAGGACCATTTTTGGTTCCACAAAGAGCCATCTCTTTATTATCTGAAGAACCTTCTTTCGCCTACAAAGAAGCTTGAGAGGTTCTTCAGATGTTAAAGGTTCTTTATGGAACCATTTAGACAAAAAAAAGCTTCTTCTATGGCATCGTCAATCACCTTTATTTTTAAGAGTGCATTTGGTCTTGGTGTCACGTTTTTGTCCTTTTACGGACTTATGAAGCTCTCCAGAGGGAATGCGCCATCATCAGCTTCTACATTCGCTGCAGGTGTTGTGATGGAGCATTAGAAATGCAGCTGAATTCAGTCACGGACATTTCATTTGCTGTGAGCAAAGTCACGCTCACCTCATTGTGTCGTCATCGGGATGAATCAAATAAGCAGGGAGGCACGTCACGGACGTCACTTTTGATATTAAGAGCTTGAACTGCGCACGATTAAATGCGTGGGGTTTTATCGTTTGAACATGCATTTTTTTTGGCATTATCCAAAACACATTTTTGAGTTATTTTTTTAACCATCGTTTTGTAGAGTGCATACATTTCGGAACGGATATTTTTAATCGTAACATGTAAAAGGCACATTATGCTCTCCGGTTTTACGCACGTCGAAAAAAGACGGAATTGCTCATGCAAACCCCACAAAACGCCAGAATAGAAATGCACATGGAATGGACTGCTTGAATGCTGTTTTATAAAGCTCAACTCGCTGATGAAGGTCCCTTAATATCAATCGGTTCCCCCGTGACACGACATCAGCACAAGAAAAATCTACGCCATTAAAGAAACATTTAGCCTCACAGAGGACTAACCCTTTTAATATATGTATTGCAAACAGTTTTCACACAACATTTTCCATATTGATCAATACTAAAAACTTTAGAATGTTATTGTTTTTATGTGCATCGCCGTGACGCGTAATGCCTCCTCACCTGGATCGCATTGGTCACGTTCCATCCTGCCTCCCAAGCAGTGATTCTTGGCTTGTCCGAGCCGCCTAAATCGGAGCAAAATCCGCCGTCTTTGGACGCTGAGGGCGGCGGACCCGTTCCATCCCTCTGGTAATGGCTGTCCCCTTCGACGGCCCCTTCGCCCCCCGTGTCCCCGCCGCCCTCTCCACCCATTCCCTCGTTTTTAAGGATGTCCATTTGAAGCCCCTGCCTGTGGTCATAGTCCAGATCATCGCAGGCGGCGAAGCCCAAACCCTCTTCATCGGTGGCGGCCTGGAAGCCCAGTTTGGCGAACATCCCGCTTACCTTCGCCTGCGATTTATTGGTGACCGTGGTGGCCGCGTTGGACAGCTTGTTAGAGATCTTGCTTCTAATTACCGTAGCCATGATTGCTCTCCTAAGCGCGACTGGTGTGAAAATTGCTCTTCAGATGTTTTTCTAGCTATATCGAATTTAGAGTGCGACCGGAGTTCTTTGTCTGCGCATCAACGGAGCGAGAAGATCGTGGTGACGCGTGTTCGTTATCTCCAGTTCTGCCTGGTGTTTTTGCTAATTCCGTGGTTCATGTCACGTTTAGACGTAGATGATGCCTGGCACCTGCATGCTGTTCGCTGGCCGGACTCTGATGCGCGCTGAGTGCGTTTAATGTCCGGTGCGTAAAGGAGAGCGCTCGCGGTTTTGCGCGGCTTTTCCGTTCTCTGTATCCGTGGCACGGCGTCGACTCCTGCGTTTCGGTGGCCGTCGCTGATGCCAATGCGGTACACGGGGGCTCGGGGGTGTTGAGAGAGAGAGGCACGTGTCACCGTCAGAGTCTCGCGCGTCTCCGGTTCCGGCACCGACAAAAAACGGTGTAAAGATTTGCTGCATTTCTAGGGGAGGTGCTTGCAGGACCCCATCCTCCTCTCCACTCTCATTATGCCCAGTATACTCGGTCACAACACCTAATGGCATCCGGGGTCTCATAGTGTTGCATAACTTTACGTCTATATAAACCGTCTCCACGCAGCGCACTAGGTCTTACATGGACACTAAAAGTGTTTTTGAAGTATTCTTCTTGTGCTTTCCTGTCGCATCTCGAAATCTACAGTTTTTATTGCTTCAGATGAAGGTTTAGAACTCATTTTCAACGAAAGGAACCGTGCCACCCTCGAGCTGGTGTTGGAATACTCTTTTGAACGGATTTAAAAGCTTCCTTCATTCGACAAGAGAATGAGCAAGAAATGCGCCGCTGATTTGAATTCGATTTTACTGATTTAGATTTTTGGTCGACTTTATAGCTATTAAGTTATCTTAAATTTTGCGTTTCAATTTGTAAAATAAAATAGCAAGGATGTTTCTCCTGGATTATTTGTCATGGTGCAGAAATATTGCGCATTGGGCTGTTCATCTGCATCATGTTCTCGGACTCTTTTTAAAGTGAATGAAGACGATTTTGAAAAGTTATTAAGCGATAGAAAAAAGTATATTTTTTCTCTGATGGAATTTTTCATTCATCTGCTGTCGCATGTATTCATCATATTCATGTGTACTTTATGAAAGCGCAGTTCTGATTCCTGCAAACAAGCGATGCTTTATAAAATCATTTAGGCCTATGAGCACATTACAGTCGTGTTCGTTCGTTTTCATTCTTGAAAGAAATGAATTCTAAATCAGTATCAAGACAATGATACTCGTGCGTTAAAGAATTAAACTAAAAAAAATGAATAAATGTTGGTCTGATTACATAGGCTATATATTAGATGTAATGTCCTGCTAAAATGTAAACGAATAATCAAAACGTTATTATATTTTCTACAAAAATAATATTTCAGTTGAAATAAATAAATGCTGCAAATCGATTTTATAGAAGGTTATTAAACGTGTAGCAGACGGTTATGTTAAAATGATGCAAATGTGTCATTATTTCGAACGTTGAGCTGTGAAGAAAAGAAACACTTTGACAAATTCAGAAAACGGATAGTTTGACTAAATCTAAATGTTTTATTAATAGGCTATTATTCTAGGTAAAATATCATCTAATTCCTTAAATGTGATGCTAATTTTGGTCAGGGGTTTCCAATGAACGTCGTTTCACTATAAATGTATTTCTCATTTATCTTCTGCGTCATGTAGGCTATATACTGTGTATAGAATTCGTGCTGGCCTGTATTCGCCGTATATAATCTCTCATATCAGTCTTCCCCCGGAGATGCTCTTTATCCCGCAGGCTGCGCTCGGCCTCGGCTGCCCGGTGGGAGCGGAAGGGTTAATCGGTGTGGCGTTATCAGGCGATTCACAGCTGCGACAATACAATCAGGACAAGAGCAGACGCACACGGGCTTTATCCGGCGCGTTTCAGATATACATTTAAAGGGAAAAATATATATATATTTTTTTATATATGAATAGTTCATATATAAGTGCTATCTGGAATTTTCTTCTAAAATTTGAAGCACAAAACCAGTCATAAGCGTCCATTTTTGTGAAATTGAGACGTATGCATCATCTGAAAGCTGAATAAATGAGCTTTCCATTGATGTATGGTTTGTTCAACGTGATCTCATGATAATTCGTATGTATTTTACGTAAAATGTGGTTCTATAAAACGTACATTTACGTACGTTTTTACAGGCACTAAAATGTACAATACTGACGTATTTTCAGCCTCTAAACGTACGAAACTGACGTATTTTCAGCATTTTAACGTACAAAACTGACGTATTGACGACACCTAAAAATTAATCCTTATGAATATTGAAATCGCGGCATTAATTTTATTAGTTTTTAGTTGTCACATTAATTAACTTGTTTTCAATTGCTTTATTAAATTGTTTACTTATGAAATTATAACATTTCGTTTTGTTGTGATTTCTGCTGCCAGCTCGTTTTCAAGAATATGCCTACATAATGTTAAACACGACTTCACTTTAAACCTTAAAATAAATAACATTTCTGCAATCGTTTAACCTTTACTTGTCATGTAATGTTTACTTTGATTGTCATGGGCCACAAAAGGCGTTTTCTCCGACATGCTGTGACTGACAATAGAACTATAAAATACACCAAAAACGCAACATAATTACGAAATGAAACAATTTTATTAGTGCGCTGTAATCCAAAGCTTCCGAATCCATACGACTGCGAGGAACAGACCCAAATCCAAGCCTTTTATTTGGCGATCTGCTTGCTTCTCCATCCCGAGCAGCGAGTCCAGTCAGTGACCGTAAGCAGCAAAGCCCGCGCTGACTGACGCGCTCTTTACAAATTCAAATGTTGCCGCTTCAAACGACAGGTTTTACGGCAGGATTATCGAACGCTCATTGGCTCTCGCCTGTATTCGTCACAGATTGCGACATGCAGTGTTTCTGGTGAGGTGTGTTTGAATGATGCGCGCGTTCCTTCACGAGTTCACGGAGTGGATCGGGAAAATTATCTGGATAATATTTTCGGCGATTAACAACATAAATTCTGCTCTGGATCACACAAACCTACTGTATTCCGCCAGAGAGGACTGCGGGTGCAACGTATCGTCATTTGGATTACTTTTAGTGCTGCTTTTGATATTTTTGCAATAAATAAATGATTGTAACGTTAATTGCATTTATCTGTCTGTTATGTTTCTTATACTGTCCAGAAATGTTTAGGCTTATAGGTAGGAGTGGAATTAGCGACTATAAATATGTTAATGCTATATTGTTACTAAAAGTTTTATTTTCCTGTGGATTTCGGTCATTTGCGTTTTATATCCTTTATATATATCGCTATAAAATGGGTAGGTTAAGGGTTGGGGGTAGGTTAAGGGGTCTAAAAAGCTAAATTGCGTATTAATAAAATGATAAAAATGCATATTCGCTATAAATTGGGTAGGTTTAGGTTTGGAGGTAGGTTAAGGGGTCTAAAAATCGAAATCGCTTATTAATAAAATGATAAAAATGCATATTCGCTATAAAATGGGTAGGTTTAGGTTTGGGGGCAGGTTAAGGGGTCTAAAAAATCTAAATTGCGTATTTATAAAATGATAAAAATGCATATTCGCTATAAAATGGGTAGGTTTAGGTTTGGGGGCAGGTTAAGGGGTCTAAAAATCGAAATCGCTTATTAATAAAATGATAAAAATGCATTGATATGAATATCTAAATGATATAAAAGATACGTAAATATTTTTACGTTTTTTAGCTAAAAATACGTAGCGATTTGTACGTTTTAAACGTTGAAATACGTCTAAATTGTACGTTTTAGCATGACTAAAAACGTACAAAAGTGTACGTTTTGCGCTTGTAAATGTTACGTATTTATACCTACGTATAAACATGAGACCAGGCTGCCCGCCCTCACGCCGGAACAAACAACATCATCAGAAAAGAGAAGAGATGTCATTGCAAGAGGAAGGGGAAGTTCTTTTGATTACAATAACAATACAAGGGCTCATGAATTAAAAAAAAAAAGTGCACAGACAAATCATTTATAATAAACACTGCAATATTCCATAAAAAATGTAATGAATAATAATAATAATAATAATTGTTGATTTTAATTTCATGTTAACTTTAAACTGTTTAAATTGACCTGCATGGCAGACCAGTGTGAAAATTCTCTCTTTTACAAGGGAAATTAAACATGGTGAAATCCTGCAATCCCTTATTAAAGTGGTGCACTAAAGCGTGCACACAAAAGTAAAGTGGCAGTGGCGTTTAAATTCTAAATAAACAAATGTTTGTTGCTGTTGAATTTTGAATATTTAAAATATTTAGTTGTTCAGTAAAAATAATAAAAAAAATAAAAAAACATCTGTTATGGCTATAATAACCACATGTATGTTTTGGAAGACAAAAAACAAATAAACAAACAAAGCAATCCCAAGCATATTTCAAAATCAACCATACTCAGTAGTTGAATTATAAAAAAATATTCAGGGGGTGATGGTGTGGTCTTTGGTGGGGCAGGGGGCATATACCCCCGATCACGAATATGGCGACGTCGAAGAAGACCTGATGCCACAAGAGCTTTCTCCACAACAACTTGAGATGAAATAAGCTGGGGAGGAGAAAGCACAGACCCGCGCCCGTCAGGCTTCCCGTCAGACCCATGAGGAGCGCGAAGTGCGGCACATAGATAGCCATGAGCATAGTGAACACCACTAGTGCACAGCGGAGCGAAAGCCCCCACGATTTGAGACGCCCGTCGCCCCCGTAGCAATCCGGGAAAAACGCACGCCCTCCTTCTTGGAAGAAAGACTTTTCCAGGACCTCCACGGCGGCGAAGAACGGCAGCGGGTACGAAAGCAGCGCCTTGGACACCAAGAAGATGTTAACAATGGCTCTGATGCTGGATGGTAGGTTGTCGGTGATCACCTCCTTGGTCTCGTCGGCCCACGTCAGATAAGCCACCAAGGCGAACAGGCCTTTGAGGATGCAGGCAGCGATGTGAGTCCAGTTCATCATGCAGTGGAACTCGCTGGGCTTCTGCATGTTCCCCTCCAGCGATGGCAGGAAGATCTGCGAGGTGTAGCTGAAGACGATGATGCCGATGGAGATGGGGAACTTCTTGACATCGATGTAGAACTTCACCTTGTCCCAGGCCCAGTCTCGCGCCCTGGACAGACAGTATGCGATCACTAGGACGTTGATGATGAAGTGCGCGATGGTGCAGAGCAAGCTGAACTTGGACACGGCTTTGAGGTTCTTGAGGAAGGCGCAAGGCAGAAGAGCGGCGGTGGCGATGATGGCCCAAGACCTCTGGGACACGGGGAGGTTGGGGAAGCTGTTGTACATCAGGTTTCCGCTCACCACGACGTATAAAATGCAGGTCATCACCAACTCAATGATCTGGGCTACGTTGACGACGTGGCCTCCCAGTGAGGGGAAGCGCGGCGCGCAGCACGCATTGGCAATATCCACATACGAGTCTCTCACTCGTACCAACTGGCCATCTTCGTTTTCTTCGTAGAGGCAAGCGATGAGGATTTTCCCCGTGTAGCAGCACACGACTGCGGCGAATATAATGAGGAACAGTCCGAGATATCCTCCGTGGAGAATGGCGTAGGGTAACCCGAGAACAAACATGCCCTGGGGAGATAAGCAGAGCATGGCTTTATACAACAGAACGCTGCTTGTGTTTTATGCTCACACTGTAATTCACTATGCAATGCCCCATGCATTCTGTGCTATTCCATTTTATTTCCATGCACAGTGCAGTTATACCCACACTCTTAAAAACAAAGGTGCTTAAATGGTTCTTCACAGTGATGCCATAGAAGGACCATTTTTGGTTCCACAAAGAGCCATCTCTTTATTATCTGAAGAACCTTCTTTCGCCAACAAAGCAGCTTGAGAGGTTCTTCAGATGTTAAAGGTTCTTTATGGAACCATTTAGACAAAAAAAAGCTTCTTCTATGGCATCGTCAATCACCTTTATTTTTAAGAGTGCATTTGGTCTTGGTGTCACGTTTTTGTCCTTTTACGGACTTATGAAGCTCTCCAGAGGGAATGCGCCATCATCAGCTTCTACATTCGCTGCAGGTGTTGTGATGGAGCATTAGAAATGCAGCTGAATTCAGTCACGGACATTTCATTTGCTGTGAGCAAAGTCACGCTCACCTCATTGTGTCGTCATCGGGATGAATCAAATAAGCAGGGAGGCACGTCACGGACGTCACTTTTGATATTAAGAGCTTGAACTGCGCACGATTAAATGCGTGGGGTTTTATCGTTTGAACATGCATTTTTTTTGGCATTATCCAAAACACATTTTTGAGTTATTTTTTTAACCATCGTTTTGTAGAGTGCATACATTTCGGAACGGATATTTTTAATCGTAACATGTAAAAGGCACATTATGCTCTCCGGTTTTACGCACGTCGAAAAAAGACGGAATTGCTCATGCAAACCCCACAAAACGCCAGAATAGAAATGCACATGGAATGGACTGCTTGAATGCTGTTTTATAAAGCTCAACTCGCTGATGAAGGTCCCTTAATATCAATCGGTTCCCCCGTGACACGACATCAGCACAAGAAAAATCTACGCCATTAAAGAAACATTTAGCCTCACAGAGGACTAACCCTTTTAATATATGTATTGCAAACAGTTTTCACACAACATTTTCCATATTGATCAATACTAAAAACTTTAGAATGTTATTGTTTTTATGTGCATCGCCGTGACGCGTAATGCCTCCTCACCTGGATCGCATTGGTCACGTTCCATCCTGCCTCCCAAGCAGTGATTCTTGGCTTGTCCGAGCCGCCTAAATCGGAGCAAAATCCGCCGTCTTTGGACGCTGAGGGCGGCGGACCCGTTCCATCCCTCTGGTAATGGCTGTCCCCTTCGACGGCCCCTTCGCCCCCCGTGTCCCCGCCGCCCTCTCCACCCATTCCCTCGTTTTTAAGGATGTCCATTTGAAGCCCCTGCCTGTGGTCATAGTCCAGATCATCGCAGGCGGCGAAGCCCAAACCCTCTTCATCGGTGGCGGCCTGGAAGCCCAGTTTGGCGAACATCCCGCTTACCTTCGCCTGCGATTTATTGGTGACCGTGGTGGCTGCGTTGGACAGCTTGTTAGAGATCTTGCTTCTAATTACCGTAGCCATGATTGCTCTCCTAAGCGCGACTGGTGTGAAAATTGCTCTTCAGATGTTTTTCTAGCTATATCGAATTTAGAGTGCGACCGGAGTTCTTTGTCTGCGCATCAACGGAGCGAGAAGATCGTGGTGACGCGTGTTCGTTATCTCCAGTTCTGCCTGGTGTTTTTGCTAATTCCGTGGTTCATGTCACGTTTAGACGTAGATGATGCCTGGCACCTGCATGCTGTTCGCTGGCCGGACTCTGATGCGCGCTGAGTGCGTTTAATGTCCGGTGCGTAAAGGAGAGCGCTCGCGGTTTTGCGCGGCTTTTCCGTTCTCTGTATCCGTGGCACGGCGTCGACTCCTGCGTTTCGGTGGCCGTCGCTGATGCCAATGCGGTACACGGGAGCTCGGGGGTGTTGAGAGAGAGAGGCACGTGTCACCGTCAGCCTGCCAATGCTAAGAGTCTCGCGCGTCTCCGGTTCCCAGTGCGCGCGCTACTCCGCACCGACAAAAAACGGTGTAAAGATTTGCTGCATTTCTAGGGGAGGTGCTTGCAGGACCCCATCCTCCTCTCCACTCTCATTATGCCCAGTATACTCGGTCACAACACCTAATGGCATCCGGGGTCTCATAGTGTTGCATAACTTTACGTCTATATAAACCGTCTCCACGCAGCGCACTAGGTCTTACATGGACACTAAAAGTGTTTTTGAAGTATTCTTCTTGTGCTTTCCTGTCGCATCTCGAAATCTACAGTTTTTATTGCTTCAGATGAAGGTTTAGAACTCATTTTCAACGAAAGGAACCGTGCCACCCTCGAGCTGGTGTTGGAATACTCTTTTGAACGGATTTAAAAGCTTCCTTCATTCGACAAGAGAATGAGCAAGAAATGCGCCGCTGATTTGAATTCGATTTTACTGATTTAGATTTTTGGTCGACTTTATAGCTATTAAGTTATCTTAAATTTTGCGTTTCAATTTGTAAAATAAAATAGCAAGGATGTTTCTCCTGGATTATTTGTCATGGTGCAGAAATATTGCGCATTGGGCTGTTCATCTGCATCATGTTCTCGGACTCTTTTTAAAGTGAATGAAGACGATTTTGAAAAGTTATTAAGCGATAGAAAAAAGTATATTTTTTCTCTGATGGAATTTTTCATTCATCTGCTGTCGCATGTATTCATCATATTCATGTGTACTTTATGAAAGCGCAGTTCTGATTCCTGCAAACAAGCGATGCTTTATAAAATCATTTAGGCCTATGAGCACATTACAGTCGTGTTCGTTCGTTTTCATTCTTGAAAGAAATGAATTCTAAATCAGTATCAAGACAATGATACTCGTGCGTTAAAGAATTAAACTAAAAAAAATGAATAAATGTTGCTCTGATTACATAGGCTATATATTAGATGTAATGTCCTGCTAAAATGTAAACGAATAATCAAAACGTTATTATATTTTCTACAAAAATAATATTTCAGTTGAAATAAATAAATGCTGCAAATCGATTTTATAGAAGGTTATTAAACGTGTAGCAGACGGTTATGTTAAAATGATGCAAATGTGTCATTATTTCGAACGTTGAGCTGTGAAGAAAAGAAACACTTTGACAAATTCAGAAAACGGATAGTTTGACTAAATCTAAATGTTTTATTAATAGGCTATTATTCTAGGTAAAATATCATCTAATTCCTTAAATGTGATGCTAATTTTGGTCAGGGGTTTCCAATGAACGTCGTTTCACTATAAAAGTATTTCTCATTTATCTTCTGCGTCATGTAGGCTATATACTGTGTATAGAATTCGTGCTGGCCTGTGTTCGCCGTATATAATCTCTCATATCAGTCTTCCCCCGGAGATGCTCTTTATCCCGCAGGCTGCGCTCGGCCTCGGCTGCCCGGTGGGAGCGGAAGGGTTAATCGGTGTGGCGTTATCAGGCGATTCACAGCTGCGACAATACAATCAGGACAAGAGCAGACGCACACGGGCTTTATCCGGCGCGTTTCAGATATACATTTAAAGGGAAAAATATATATATATTTTTTTATATATGAATAGTTCATATATAAGTGCTATCTGGAATTTTCTTCTAAAATTTGAAGCACAAAACCAGTCATAAGCGTCCATTTTTGTGAAATTGAGACGTATGCATCATCTGAAAGCTGAATAAATGAGCTTTCCATTGATGTATGGTTTGTTAGGATAGCACAATATTAGAAAATCTGGAATCTGAGGGTGCAAAAAAATCTAAATATTGAGAAAATCATCTTTAAAGTTGTCCAAATGAAGTTCTTAGCAATGCATATTACTAATCAAACATTACGTTTATGGTAGGAAATTTACTAAATATCTTCAAGGAACATGATCTTTACTTAATATCCTAATGATTTTTGGCATAAAAGAGAAATGTATAATTGTGACCCATACAATGTATTGTTGGCTATTGCTACAAATATCCCCCAGCGACTCAACACTGCTTCTGTGCTGCAGGGACACGAATAAGCATTTTTGTCAGGCTGTCATGTGTACAGTAGGTTCAATAATTTAATTTTAATGGCAATGAAGTGAAATAACTGAACATAAATAGAGGAGCCTGACAAAATGCTCATTTTGGAAGAAAATTTCAGATGGCACTTTTGCACTCGTATATAAAAATAAATTACGGGGAGAAGTAGTAACAGTAAGAGTGCCGATGAGAATTATAATAGCAGCCGACTTTGTAAGCAATGTGGTGATGACTTATCCTGGTCAAATTTATATTTTGCATATATGAAATATAATATATACCTTCATACACATGCAACCGGACATCTCTTTTTGGCTAAATCCAAGGCTAGAGATGTAGCTGCTAGATTTACTAATCTGATTCATTATGTTGTATCGACACTCTTTGCAAGGAGCCCGTGTGTTGTAAAGCCGCTCAGGATCTGTGAAGTCACTGTTCTTCGGTGTGAAAAAGCATCAGATTGATTTTCCTCACCTCTACAGCCACTATTACCTGGCGCCATGTTTGCAATCATTCCCATTCTGTCTGCTCTTGCTGTCACCGTGGCTCAGTTCTGTGTGTTTTCACTGGTAAAGTCATGTGATTCTCAGGAACTCATTTCATGTGTATTTTGGCATAGTGAATGTGATGGCACGTCCTCCCTGCTTCTCATGCAGTTTATTACCCTTCAGAAGAATCATAGAGGGCAGTAAGAGGTCAGGGTGCTTCTCCCAGGAGCCTCTCCGCACATAATCCTCAATCTGTCCCCCGGGACACTGATCCAGGATCAGTCAGGTGTGTCGCACTGCTGTCTTTGTCAGTGATTCAATGCTATCTCGCTCCGCAAGGTGATCTCAAGCAAGCTATTGTTGAAGAACAGCAGTGTCATGATTCTGTCTGTCTTTTTGTGTTATCACGGTGCATCCTGGAGTCTGAAACAAAAGGATTTGGCCAGACAAATGATCAGTCCGGTCCTTTGTCCCTGTGGCTGCTTCATTCGGCTCTGTCCTTTTTCTCATTACACACTTCACTGAGCCGAGCTAGTGTAGCAGAGCAACTCCCTCTTCTTCTGCTGCTGTATAGAGACAGATCATTAATTAGCTTCACACTGAAGACTATGGGACGCAGAGTAATGAGGCTTATCGTTCACTGCAGACAAACTCACATCTGCGAGCTCATGTCAAATGAAAAAGTGTAGATCTGAAGACTTTCCAAAAGGTTTAAGAATTTGTACTTGAAGGGCTGCATTTGGATCCAAAACACACATTCTGCATTACAGTGTTGCCCACAGTACTGAACAACATATTTGGTTCCCTGAAATACCTTTCAGTGTTTTTAGTTCTTTAAGATTATATATGGAACCTTTTCTACCTTTCTACTCTTGTGCAATGGAAGATTCCATGGATCCTAAAGGTTCTTCATGGAACCATCAATTAACCTTTAATTTTAATAAGTGTATGTTTTTTTTCTTCACTGCATTTTAAAGAACCAGCACTCTTAAAAATAAATGTTCCAGAAGGGCGTTTTGCTGTGAAAGGTTCTTTATTGGCATTGATGGTTCCATGAAGAACCTTTAACATCCATGGAGCCTTTCCATTGCTCAAACTCTTCTTTATAGTGGAAAAGGGTCTTTAGATTTTTTAAATGAAAGGCAAAAATGTTCTTTTTAAGAACTGATCACTGAAAGGTTCTTTGAGGAACCAAAACTGGTTCTTCTGTGGCATCACTGCAAAAAACAAAAACTCTTTTGGAACCTTTATTTTTAAGAGTGCATAGAAGAATCATCTTTGGTTCCTCAAAGAACCTTACAGTGAACAGTTCTTAAAAGAACCATTTTTAAAATCTTAAGAACCTCTTCCACCATAAATAACCTTTTGTCCAGTGGAAAGGATCCATTATGTTAAAGGTTCTTCATGATGCCAATAAAGAGTGCGTATATGCTTTGCATTGCATTTCAAATGAGAGCAAAAGCTATTTTATCTTTATGCTTCAGACACGGTATGAAACCGTCAGCCGACCCACTGGCAGCCTCTTCTGCGGCTCAGCGAGGCAGAAAATAACACATAACACACTTCAATTAGAGAGCCAAACTGAAAAGACACGCGAGTCTCTGGGGGCCGTGGCGCAGCGAAATTAGCCAATCGCGTGCATTGGCCCCTCTCCGAATCCATTACTATTAGCATCACAATGCCAAGTACATTATTGTGCTGATTAGCCGCTATCAGAACAGATATGTGCTGCTTTTATAAGTGGAGTCACTAGTTCCCAAAAACAGTGTCAGCAGTGGTTCATATGCTATTGTGACGGCCCCTGATTTGCTTATATTTTTTGGTTATATTAGATAAATTAACATTTAGAACAACAAATAGCTATAGTTCATCCACACAGGCTTACCTAAACATATTTTAGACTCTGATTGCTTTTAAATGAAGCTAATTATAATACCCCAGCTAGCAAAATTATGTTCTAAGAATGTTTTGCTAACAGTAGGTTTATGAAATGTTATTTCTGAATGTTCGAAACATCCAGTTTTAAATTTTTAAAAAAAATGCAAACGTTAGGGGAACATTTCATTTTTATAATTTTCCAAATATGGAAACGTTACTTTTGAATGTTCTCTGAACATTCTCAAACAATTTGTAACATTTAAAAAATGTTGGATGAAGATCACTAAAACACTAAAACATTTCAGAAATAAAACATTCCGTGAATTATATAAATAATGCTTTTGTGAATATTATTGAGAGTATTAGATAATAACAAATTATTGGAAAATGTTTTTTCATTTATTTATTAATTTACAAAAACATTTAGTTCAATTCATTATTTATTATCTGTTTATCTATCTGTCTAAATAAATATATATATCGGTCAAAATGCATGATATAAAAAATAGCATTTATATATATATATATATATATATATATATATACAGTATATATGGGATATTTTGCCATCTAACAATCTGAAATAAACCAGCAAATGATCGTATTAATTCAATGAGGCAGAGACGTGTAGAGAGCATAAGAACAAAA